AATTCACGTATTGTATTATCACTCGAACGAATTTTCATAATTACAGTAGTCTCGAGCATCCGCGACGGTGGGGACCGGAATCATCGCAAAATAATGGAATAAGGACGTGATCGATAGTTTTGGTAAAAAAGTTCCTCAAAAAATCGCGAATAATCGAGACTCCACCTTATTATAATTGTTATAATTGAAGACGACGGCCTGCAATGGTATTTATGAAAAAAAAGTTCCTCAAAAAATCACGGATTATCTGGAATCGCGGACGATCTGGAGTCGCGGATAATATGGAATCGCGGTTAATCTGGAGTCGCGGATGATCTGTAATCGCGGATGATCTGGAATCGCGGATGATATGGAATCGCGGATAATTGAGACTCTACAATATTGTCTAATTGTTACAATTGAAGACGACGGCCTGCAATGGTAGTTATGAAAAAAAAAGTTCCTCAAAAAATCACGGATTATCTGGAATCGCGGACAATCTGGAGTCGCGGATAATCTGGAATCGCGGTTAATCTGGAGTCGCGGATGATCTGTAATCCCGAATGATCTGGAATCGCGGATAATCTGGAATCGCGGATAATTGAGACTCTACAATATTGTCTCGACTTGATCGGCTGGAATCTCGAGGAGAGAACGTGTCAGGAATGAACGTGTCCGAGAGATAATGGGCGTTGAGGGGACGATTGTGCACGATATCATGACCAAGCAATTGGTATGGTATGGGCATGTGCAGAGAATGGCTGATACCAGGTTGCCGAAGATGGTGTTGGAGTGGGTCCCCCCAGGTAGGCGACGGAGAGGGCGTCCAGCCAAACGGTGGGTAGAGGGCATCCATGAAGAGATGGAGAGATGCCACCTTCCGGAGGATCTCTACCATGACAGATTCCTGTGGAGAATAGGCGTCGCAGAGCGCCCTAGCGCGCCGTAAAAGCGGCTCATACATACACATACAATATTGTCTAATTGTTACAATTGAAGACGACGGCCTGCAATGGTATTTATGAAAAAAAAAGTTCCTCAAAAAATCGCGGATGATCTGGAATCGCGGACAATCTGGAGTCGCGGATAATCTGGAATCGCGGTTAATCTGGAGTCGCGGATGATCTGTAGTCCCGAATGATCTGGAATCGCGGATGATATGGAATCGCGGATAATCTGGAATCGCGGTTAATCTGGAGTCGCGGATGATCTGTAATCGCGGATGATCTGGAATCGCGCATAAGCTGGAATCGCGGATAATTGAGACTCTACAATATTGTCTGCTTATTATAATTGAATGCGACGGCCTTTGCCCCCCAGCTCCTCTCATATCGCACCTCCCTCCTTTAACTTCGATTTGAATTGCGCAGCAATCTCTATCTCTATCCCACCTTCTGGCTCATAATTTTGTTTCATAAAAAAGTGAACTATCTTTTTTGCTACACCTACCAAAGATGTTGATACCACCTATCCGTGGTACCATTGACGGGATTCTCAGCGTAATATTTGAAATACAATGGGTAACGATAAGTTGGACTACATTTTGCAATTTGGACCTATAAATTCTGGCTCATCTGAACAAACACTTATGTGCATAGGGAAGCTAATGGCACATACGTTGTTTTTAAACCGGGCCGGAATTTATACGTCCAAATTACAAAGTGCAGTCCAGTTTAAGATTCAAGACATGTCCGCGTATGGGATCGGGTACATTGCATCAGAAATGCATACAATTATCATCGACATTGTTTGCTGCCGATGCACTCGCTTACATCATCACCATGCGGTGAATCCTTTCCTAGTGGTTGCATCAAGCACCAAGCCGTTGAACTTTGGCAAAATACCCTTGAACCGGTAGGTGAGAAAAAAAATTTTCCAGGATATTAAATACGTCATCCTCGCCCACGCAACTCTTTGAAACTGTATACCTAACCAATGTCACTTTCAAGTTCATGATTCCATCACTGGCAAGTTGACAGTTTTTTAATTGCGTTCTCTCAATTTTCTCCTCGCTCTTTGTCAGTCTAAATTAGTTCCTAATCCGTGCTATGACGTTTTTTGCAGATATAGCATTCTATTTCAGATGAATAAGGAATTCATTATGGATAATCATGAAGTAGGTATGGTCCAAATGATTACGTCGCGCGTCGCAAATTTTTTCTGCCCGTAAAACTAGGTTGATGCTCTTCTGGCAAATGCACATATTGGACTATTGGAGGATAGCAACAGTAATTTATTATAATGAAACGAGAAGAACATGCATCTTAGTTCACCTACAGCGTTGAAGATTACTATTCCTACATTGTTTTCCTTGTTTTTGTAGACTCGTTAAATATCCATCTTTCCCCCGGTCTGGCTAAAGCCTAGAAAAGTCATATTTTGCCACTTATCAATTACGCTTCATATTTCGACGGTGAAACTACCAAACCTCGCATCTCGGTTTGCGACGTTGTCTACTTCCTGTCATACTTTATCTTTTGAATCGAAAACTTTTTTTTTTTTGGTATCTCAGATGTACATAATTTTACAAATAATTTACAAGTCTTATCATTTAAATATCTTTCATATCATATTAAGTCATTAATTCAAGATTCTAAGTTGAAAACCACTCAACGTCAATTGTTGAAAACTTCCGTGTTCTTTCTTCTCTCTGCGAAGAAAACTGTGAAAATGAAGAGATAATATTGATTTGTTCTCCTTTAAAAAAAATTAAATGGAAGCGGAGATTTTTGAACATCGCAAACGAGATACGTGGTCTGGTAATTTCATCGTCGATTTGCTTCCCTACTACAGGAACCAAAAAAAAAAAAAAAAAAAAAAAAAAAAAAAAAAAACGAGCTTGAGAATAAAAACTGAAAACCAAATGTATCAGCTCACGTGATTTAACGAAGATGTGTGCATTTTTGTGTGAATTCGTAACAATCCTGAACTGCTGCAATGATTTTGCATGCAAGGCGAGTCAAGCTAGGTCAACATTCTTATAGGTTGAGTTTAATCGGGGAAACGTGCTTCATCAAGGTACGCAGAGAGAATGTGGGAAAAAAGCGCATGAAGATGCACTCCATTTCCTGCGCTTTTGTCTTGGGATTGCAAGGCAACGTACTCACTTCAAGCGAGTGGTCCTGTCCTGATAACAATGACCTAGATAACGCATTGTGGTCGTAGCCATAAACGATAGGAAATCTTGGAACCAGGCCATTGTATTCACTTCCGAAGAATCCGGTGAACGAGCAATTATTTATTTAATACCTAGCAGTGGCGGGGCGCGAATCAACGATTATCGATATTTCTCCATTTGAAGTTATAGAAAGAATCAATTATTCAGGTGTTCGTTGCAAACACCCTGTTCATCGATCTTTTTCTATAGGTTTAATTTATAGATAGATCAATCGATATATCGCAAAGCACACCACGCGACTGATACCTAACCCGACTAATGATGTATAATGCGTTAAGGATTCGACTAGAATTCGATGATCCAATTCTACCGTCCACAGGAAAACCGCCGCAACTCCGATCAAAACTTGGCATTTTTCTTGCACACATGCTGTCTTATTATGAGAAAATCGGAGCTCTATGATCCTTCATTTTGTAAATTTGTCATTTCGTCACCTTCCGGCCAAAGTATCACAAGTGCCATGCATGCAACGTTTCAAGATTTCCGCCGCCATTTTATTTTTTACGGAAAAATTGTTCAACGAAGCTGCCCGTAAATTCAGGAACATTTTCAAACAGATTCAACCAATAATTTCTCGGTAAAAAAATAAAATGGCGACGGAAATTTTGAAACATCCAGTGGCGTGGCGTGCTTTGCGATACATCGATAGATCTTTCATTCAAACCTATGGAAAAGGATCGATAAACAGGGTGTTCGCAGCGAACACCATAATAATCGATTCTTTACCATAGTTTCAAATGGAGAAATATCGATAATCGATCACTCACGCCACGCCACTGGAAACGTCGCATGGCGCTTGTGATAATGTGGCCGGTATGGTGACGATGTATTGATGTGGTATCGATGTACGGAACTTTTCACCTTCAATTATTCATCTTAAGGCTTTAAAGTTTAATTTTTTGTATTTCTCAATGATTAGTCTATACGCTGACCTTACGCGGTTTTTCAGAGATTGTGCTCATGATGGCTAAAACCGGCAATTACATAGAAGTCATGGCAAAACTCTGAACTAAAAGCTGAAGATGCACCTTGAGAGCGAGACGAAAATAATTGTAACCATTTTATATTTTCATACATTGAATCGCATTTAGCAAAAAGGAACCAGCGCGACTGCAGTGTTGTAAAAATGTTGCCTCTTCATAATGTCGCTCCTCTGGCGTTAGGGCGTATCTCAATTTCTACATGAACCCTGTTAACCGTATAGCTGCATGCTTTCTAGTGCTCATGTGGAAATAGAGGTACGCCCTTATGTCAGAAGAGCGACGAATTATCTAAAAAATCACCCAGAATGGCAGAAACTTTTGATTTCCGACCAAAAAATTGTTAATTTTAAAGGAAAATAATTGTGTAAATTGTATTACTCTGCATACTTAAATAAAATACTTCTAAAAGAAAAGGAGAAGTTGTACAATTTTGAAGACACTGTAATCGCGCTGTTTCCCTTTGCTAAATCTGCCGTGCTAAGGAAAAACACCGTATGAACCTTCAGGCGTTGCCAAATTTCCTTTTATAAATCGCCAATTTTCTGGTAAATTTATGAATATTTTCCTCCCAATTTTTCAGCTAATTTAGTTCACACTTGAACTTAAAGATTCTGAAATTTAAAGGAAAAATATTCATAACTTTCCTCACAAATGAACACTTCATCGCAGGAAATTTGGCAACATCTGAAGGTTCATACGGCGTTCTTCCTTAGCACGGCAGAAATGCGATCCAAGTTACATGAGAATATCCAGGATAAGTGATAATCTGGCAACGTGCGTAATTAAGCGATATTGCACCCAAACAAAGCCCCGCGCCTGTCCCGGCTGCGGGTCAGCTAGGTCGGTTGAACCTTGTCGATGATCAGTCAGTCGTGGTCAGTCGTCAGTCAAGTTCGATTGGTGCTCGGTGGCGGTGTCGACCGATCGCGCGCTCGTGTTGTGACAACATCCTCAGTTTTATCGCGGCCAAGTGATCTGGATGGTCATTAGATTCGATTTGCTGTGATTGTTTCAAACGTTCATCGACAGGATTTTTGGTGCCATCCCCAATAGCAGGGAGCATCGCATGGAATAAATTCACAAGTCTCAAGGTATGGGTGAACCGATATTTTTCACAACCCTCTGATAACAACCCTCCAACCCGTCCTCATCATTGATGGACCACTAGATACGGCAATAAGCTGTGTATCACAGATTATCATCTTTTGATAAAATTGCATGAAAAAACGATGGATACATTAAAATTTAACTCGCAAGTGAATAATTCACGTTTCCTATACTTATACGACGCGTCAAACCTACTGCTTGTCAAAAAAACCCCAAGTCTCCTTGAGTTTAATCGGGCTTTAAACTAGTCAATTTTAGCGTTTGTTGAGATGGAATAATTTTTTTCTATGCTGAAGTTTTTTTTTTTTTTTTTTTTTTTTTAATAATTTGAGGAGGATAGACATGACATAGTTGTGGGATCCAACTTAATTTCATTTATTTTTAAAGCCGATTTAAGGCAGGTTTTTGCTTTCGGTTTTATTTGGAAAGCGGTATGTTTGGATGTAGGTACTGATTTTAATGTATGCTTTGAACAATAATATGCTTGCCTATACGTGGTGATTTTCGACATTTTATATAATCGACGTGTTTTGTGTGAAATTTTGATGAGGAGACACGCCTTGTGATACCTTAGCACCCTATTTAGTGGTCCATTGAATCTTTTGAGGCAAAAGTCGCGCAACTTCGTCATGACAAAATTGCAGAACTTCTAATGATTTTTTCGCTTCTGGTTTTCTTCTTTTTTTCATAGAAAAATCTCTCGCGCGTTTAATCGTAAGAATTTCTGTGAAATTCCTTGATTTCGGTAGGAATTTCACCGAGATTGGTGCAAAGAAAAAAACTCGTTGTTGCATTCGTTTATTTTAAAGCGGTGTGTTAGCAGGAGTCTCCCTCAAAGAAATGTAGGTGAATTAACGAAAAATGGTCGACAGCCTCATGACTGTCAGTGGCCGTTTCCGAGTTTTTTTTTTTTTTTTTTTTNTTTTTTTTTTTTTTTTTTTTTTTTTTTTTTTTTTTTTTTTTTTTTTTTTTTTTTTTTTTTAAATGAACTTTCAATTTGATTTCCAATTATTTCTACAAATCAGACCTTGTTTGTATCTGAAATTAGAGTAGTGCAAATGCATAAATATGACCAATGAATATAAATCATGCGAAGTCAAGCCAACTTTTGGCCGTAAGTTTGACTGCGCGTGAGGCCGAGGACACTTGCGTGGCGTGCTTTGCGCTTTATAGGTTGATCTGCTATTTAGACCTTTGGAAAAGGATTGATAAATAGAAAGGTATGTACGCATATGGAACCAAAGAATTCAAAGTTTAGATGCGCTTATTGGGTTTTTATCTGGGCCATTAAATTCAACAACCGCACACAGTACAGTGTACTGTACATTCTTATCGTCATGTGTCTATGGATTTTGTCAGAAATGCGTATCTCTGATCGCGACGTTGCAAAGCTCCTCTGATAGTTTACTTCCTCAAAAGTAATTTGACCGACACATTTTTTTGCACGCTCTTCACATATTTACAAATATTCCCAACAAATTGAAGGATAGAGTTATTTCTATCAGTTTTCTTTTGAAAAATACACAATCATACTCGGAGATTTTCAAGGGGTGGGGTGGGGTCTCGTATTTTTCAACTTAACCCATAATGCCGTGATAAGGGAAGATTTCGTACAAGTATTCAAATTTTGCCAAATTTCCCCTCCAAAAATATTTATTTTTGAGAAATGTTATGAATCCTTTTCTCGAAATTTTCTGAAACTGTAGATAAATTACGAACAAAATTCTCTGAATAATCGGAAGAAAAGTCTTTACAAATCCCGAAAATTTGCGATTATCAAAGGAAATCGCGAAAAAAAACGAAAAAAAAAAAAAAAAAAATGCGATTAAAATTAAAATTAATTGCGATTATCTGAAGGCTCTTACGGCGATCTTCCTCAGCACGGCAACATAGGTCATTGTCGGATCCAGCAAATTGGCAACATTTTTTTTCGCCACTTAAACCTATGGAAATATATCGATTCTTGGAGGAGCCACGAGCTCTGACAAGAATCGATTATTTACCATAGGTTTAAATTGAGGAAATACGGCGTTGCCAAATTGCTGGATCCGCCTCTGGCATAGGTACGATGATAGAGTAGCTGAGGCCGAAAAGAATAACCCACCGGCCGCTCTAATTCAGTGCCGTGGCGTGAATTATCGAGTATCGATACTTCCCCATTTGAAGCTATGGTAAAGAATCGATTCTTGAGGTGTTTGTTGCGAACACCCTGTGTATCGATCCTTTTCCGTAGGTTTAAATGGTAGATCAATGGATAAATCGCAAAGCACGCCACGCCACTGCTCTAATTACCATGGCGGCACCTGGGAAAAACACCCACTTGATAGGTACACCGAGATGGCACCTGCCCTATCACGTCCTCGTTGTTCGCGGGTGCTTAAGATGAATCCCAGCATCCTCCACCATAGACGGGGGAAACCCCCTGCCGCGGTCGAAGTGCAGGTGCAAGTCGCCGACGGCGACGACGCCACCCGAGGCCCGACGTAGCCTCTGGCCGAGGTTCGGGGCGGGCGCCTGGGGCCTCCGTCGTGGACGAGGCGCGACACGACAAAGGAAGAAGTGCAGCCGACGGTATCGTGGTCGGCGGCGACATGGGGTTTGGAGGTTCTATCGGTCCAGACAGACATAGACGGTCCGGACACGAATCATCCCAACTGAACATGTTCCTTCATCCGGAGAGGATGTGGCCCATTAAGGAGAGTATTATGACCCTAATTTTGGTCGAAAATTGAAACAGCTTAGAATAATATCATGTACGGTCAAATCGACTCTTAATCATCTACCCTGCGAGAACTTTTCTTTAATTGAGGTGTTTTTGAAAGGTTTTTGCCTGCTTTACCAGCGCAAAGTGGTGAAGTTTTGCTGTCTTCTCGAATAATTGCTCATTTTCGGTCCTAAATTAGATTGTTTATGTATGAGTACAAGCGACTACCACTTTCTCCTTTAAATATGTTGTAATGGGTGTACTAAAGATTAACAAATTCGACTATGAAAGTGGTAGTCGCTTTGTGCTCATACATTAACAATCTAATTTAGGACCGAAAATGAGCAATTATTCGAGAAAACTGCAAAACTTTACTACTTTGCGCTGGTAAATCAGGCAAAAAACCTTTCAAAAACACCTCAAATAAAGACAAGTTCTCTCAGGGTAAGATGATTAAGAGTCGATTTGACCATATATGACATTATTCTAAGCTGATTCAATTTTTGACCAAAGTTAGGGCCAAAATACCCTCCTTAATGGGACACATCCTTTTGATTTTCGACGCGTTGCTAAGGTGATCGAGGTGATCCGACAGACGCCATTTTTTGTGTCAGTGCAACGTGCGATATGTCGAATCGATTCGTCTCATAATTTCAGCTGCTTGTCATTTTTTTCGAATTCTGAGATCGCACCTCTGTTGTCACGAGTCTAAAGAATTCATGTCACAAATTTGACGAAGAAATTCAACATAATAAAGGCGTGGTTTCCTTGGAGGAAAAATATCGCATTCGAGTGCAGTTTCGATATCGGTATAGAATGCGATATTTTTCCTCTAAAAAACCACGCCTTTTTACGTTGAATTTTCTTGTCAAATTTATGACATGAATTCTTTAGATTCATGACAACAGAAGTGCGATCTCAAAATTCGAGAAAAATGACGAGTAGCTGAAAAAACGGAACAAATTTATGCGGTACATCGCACGTCGTTTTGACACAAAATATGGCGTCTATCGAATCACCATAATGTGAACCTGAGAGACTAGGAATGAGACATCCTTTAATACTGAATTCAGTTGTTATCTCTAGTCATATGCTGTAAAGTGCAATAAACTACTCACTTAATAAACGTCTTTAGGCATAATCAGTCGAATATGATGTCTAATTACGCAGAATGCGGGTAAAAAACGCGCCTTGACTAATGTCTAGGACAGAAATGAATTTGACTAATGGATCATTCAACTCCTTGAAACCGATGCTGTGACATTCATCCTGGCTAAAAATCAAGGGGGATAGGTAAATTGATTGATAGGATCACTGAGCGACTTGGATTGCGACCAATATGCAAATACTGCCGGGCTAAGGAAGAGCGCCGTACGAACATTCGAGAGTTGCGAAATTTTCCCGGATAAAACATGTATTTTTGAGAAGACTGGTTCATATTTTTCATTGATATTCTTAGATATTTGAGATAAAATTGATAGCAAAATTGTCTGAAAAATTGGAAGAAAAATATTTACAAACGTTCCCAAAAATTCGTGATTTACCAAAGGAAATTTGGCAACGCCTAAAGGCTCATACGGCGTTCCTCCTTTTAAATAATAAAGTATAACAGAGGTACGGAAAATTGCTAACTGAGACACGTGGTTTGGAAGTTTTGTCGTCGATAGTATATTGTTAAACTTGTATAGGTACATACTGCCGTGCAAAGGAAAAACGCCGTATGAACACCCGAGATTTGCCAAATTTTCCCGCTTCAAAGGTTAATTTTTGAGACAATTAATGAATAATTCTATCTAAAATTCTCTGATAATTTAGATCACATTGCGAAGAAAATTTTCACAAGTTTTCCTCGAAACTCGTTTTTTACCAAAAGAAATTTGTCATCGCACGGAGGTTCATACGGCGTTCTTCCTCGGCACGGCAGTATAGTGTCGATACACGGTCAGTAAACCAGTGATGTGGCGTGCTTTGCGATGTATCGATTAATCTGCCATTTAAACCTATGGAAAAGGATCGATTGACAGGGTGTTCGCAACGAGCACCTTAATAATCGATCTTCGCCGTAGCTTCAAATAGGAAAATATCGATAATCGATCATTCACGTCTCGCCACTGCCGTAAATCTATTGGCAGACATCGTCATCATGCAACAAATACCTACATATCGATGGCCAAAGTGCGAAACCACTGATCTCCGCTTGCAACGTTGCAGACTTCCTGTCTTACTTCATTTTTTTCTTTGGAAAATTAGTCAACGTCATTTCTTAAATTCTTTCTTGAT